GAAGCTTTTTGAATGTAATGTTTGTGGAAAATCTTTTAGCCAGAAGGAAGATCTCCTTACCCATTCAGAAATTTACACTAGAGAGAAACCTTTTGAGTCAAAGGTTGTGGGAAACCTTTCATTCATTCAGAGGTCAAACTTCATCAGATACCAGAGAACTCACACAGTTTAGAAATCCTTCATATGTAAGTGGTGTGCAAAAACCTTTAGCAGCAAATCAAATCTTTCTGAGAACAAGAAAATTTATATTGGAAAGGAACCCTTTAAATGTAATGAATGTGGAACAGCTTCTGGCCAGAAGTACCTCATAAAGCATCAAAACTTTCACAAGGAAGAGAAATCCTATGAATGCAATGAACTTGAGAAAGTCTTCTTTCAATTAATATCACTTACTGTGCATATGAGAACTTATTCAGGTGATAAACCTTATGAATGTAATGTTTATGGAAAAGCCTTCTCTCAGAGCTCATTTCTCACTGTGCACATGAGAAGCCAAACAGGTGAGAAGCCCTATGGTTTGCAGTATATGTGGGAAAGCTTTCTCACAATTCTTAATTCTACCCCTGCATTAGAGAATACACACAGGTAAGAAGCCTTATCAATAGAATGAATATGGGAAAGCTTTCAGTCAGAAGTCACACAACATTAGACACCAAAAAAATCAATATTCATTAAAAAAACTATGAATATCTTCAAAATGGAAAACATGCACCAGGAATTTATATATCACAGTACATTACAAATGTTTTTAAGCAAAGCACCACAAGTGAGGTGAACTTAAACAATGATAACACTTAGATGACTCCAACAAGTTCATACTTAGGAAAAACACATTCATATGATGAAAAGACTGCCCGACCAAGAAAACTACAGCAGAGACATTAACTTTAGATGCATTTCCCTAAAATTGAGAACAAAAATAGAGGCTTATTACTGCATTTAGCATAAACCTGGAGATATTCACCAGTATAAGAATAAGGTGTAAGTATTAGAAAGGAAGAAACAAAAATACATACTATCATCTACAAATAATAAGCTTTTGTGACAGTGACTCAGTATAGCAGAAAAGACTCCAGAAAGAGACGTATGCATTTATTCAAATTTGCAATATGAAAAAGATGGCATTAGGAGATGAGGAATTAATAAGTCATTTTGTAATTATTTGGAGTCAATGTGTTCTCTGATGACAGAGAATGGTCCATATATTACACAGAAAAGTAAAATCCACTGGGATTGAAGACAGAATTACGAAAGACCAGTATGCTAATAGTGGTATGACCTTGGGAGGAGAAAAACATTCCTGTAACAAATTCAAAAATACATACTAGTGCTACTTGGGTGTATGCTCAGGAAATACCAGGAACTTCTCTGTGGCTCAATTTGTAGTAGCCAGATATTGAAACAATTTAAATGTCCATATGGAACAAAATGGAAAATTCTTATGATGGAATACTACACATACATCTATTAAAATGTGACAGATGAGAGCCACATGTTAATGGAAATATCTATAAAATGTAGAGAGGGGAGAAAGTTGCAGAATGATGAATATAAGGACTTTTTGTATATTTTGAGATATAAAAATTTCCTTGGTGTAGTTCAATACTTTATATTGCTAATAGATAACACATACATATGTAAGTGTTTTTTTAAATCAGTTGGAACCAACCTCTTGATGGTGGCCTGTGAAGAGCAGAGAAGGGAAGGGAATGAGTGTGGGGGTGGGGTGGGGAAGGGCTTCATGAAGATATCTATTTCTCTTAAAAACTACAAGTAGATATATGAAGATTTATTCTGCATTGTGGTATGTGGACAACTTATTTTTTTATTTTTCTGTATTTTTAAAGTTTCACAAAATTAAAAGAATGGGGTGATGATGGCAATTCTGTACCTGTAGAAGTCACATTATAATGGATTAATTCCCAATAAAATACTAAACTTTAATAGAGAGTACTTCTAAAAATGTTATTAACAATGAGTAGATAGGGCCAGGGATTTAGCTCAGGGGTTCCACCAACTGCTCCATAAGCGCAAGGACCTAAGTTTGATCCCCAGTACCAAAAAAAAAAAAAGCAAAAAAAACAATGAGTGGATAGACTTACTCTCTACATAGTATGAAATTATCTGTTTTATTAAAATGAAAAATGAAAAAAGTGGAAACTGAAATTAATAGACACGTCTTAGAAAAATTGCAAATGCCAATAAATACATGAGAAAACATTCAACATTGCTGGTCATTACAAAATTAAAGCAATACTGAGATCCCATCTTACCCCAGAAAGAATGGCTCTCATGAAGAAATCAAATAATAAATGCTGATGAGGCTGTGTGTGTGTGTGTGTGTGTGTGTGTGTGTGTGTGTGTGAGAGAGAGAGAGAGAGAGAAAGAGAGAAAGAGGGAGAGAGAGACTGTTCCAATGTTGCTTGGAATATAAAGTAGTACAATCACTATGTAAATCAGTATGGAAATTTCACAAAAACTAAAAATCAAAATTCCATTCAACCTATTCTTCTTCCATGTATCTTCCTAAAAGAATTAAAGACATTTTATCACAATGATATATGCAAAGCTATGTTTATAGCAGCAAATTCATAATAGTGAGATCTTGGAAGTGGCCTACAGGTCCATCAAAAAGAGAATGGATAAAGAAAATGTGGTATCAACACGCAATGGAGTACTACTCTGCCATAAAATAGGAAAATGGATGCACCTTGGGAAAATAATGTTAAATGAAATAAATCAAACACATAAGTTTAAATATTACATGGTTTCTCTTATATGAGTATAAAAAATTAAAGAGCAAAACAAAAATAGGAAACAAGGAAATAGATCTTTTGCAAATATGAAGAGGAACAAGAGATGGAGGTAGTGGGAAGTAAGGGAAGAGCAGCAACTCACCATGGCCCTGTTTACTTCCCTAGTTTTATCTCCTGTACCTCTCTGCAGTACATTTTGCAACAGTGGCCCTGCTAATTTGATTTTACTGATGATCCCCAGGAAGTCTTCTGAGTCCCCAGAGTTGGCTCTTACTGCATCTATATGCCAGTATGGGATAATGGGGATATCTGTTGTAGGACCTTCCACATTACCCATTTTCACAAAGGATCTAGGGTTGAACTAAGCGGACAAAATTGTGATACGTGGATGACATTAATTTGAAAGTTTTACTCAACAGTTAATATGAATAGTATTTTTTTTTCTACTTACAAAACAATCCCTAGGTCTCCCTAGAGGTATGAAAAAAGGGGACTCTGAATGAGCCAATGTCCCCATTACATGTCCTCCAACAATTATTTTCTGATCAAATGTATAGCATTTCTTGTTGGTAAAAAGTAGTACTTACCATTTGAGAAAAAAGTGGCTAAGTAGTCAGCATGAGTTGGCACTCTTGATTTGTAGATGTATAGATTTCTGAAATTAGTCGCATTTGGAACATGTACAGTGGTCAGTAGCCAGAGAAACCCCATTTCAAGATTAGAAGTGCTTAACTAAAAATAGAAAAAAGAATCGATTTTGTTATTAGTCTCTACATTCTCTTACATCCCCTAAATGTAATGAAAACAACAAACGAAAAAATCAGAGATCCTCAACTGACATTCAATCATTTTTAAAGGTCATAAATACTGTAGAAATCATTAGGGAAATACATATTTAAAATTCTACTCTGTAAACAAACAAGCAAACAGTATTTCCTTTGGAGGCAGCCACTGTGTAGGAAAAAGAAAGAATTGAGTTTTGTCTGAGCAGACATGAATTTTGACATTAAAAACCAGAGCTACCTTTTCTGAGTTCCTGCTCTATGTCAAGTAATGGGCTGAGAAGCTGTGTACAAGTCACCTGATCTCTGCTTTTCTGTACCTTATTGGAACTGAAAGCCCTGAATCTGGATTCTGGGAAAAAAAAGAATCAAAACCCATCCTCTTACCTCCTCAACCCATCATGGCTGTTAAGTTGAGTTGTCCACTTCCTAAGAAGAAATCAATGTATTTATGTGAACCCCACTGAGGCTTTTCAATTAGGTGTGAATTTGCACTACTGAGAAATGGGAGGAGAGAGAAGTTTGGGTGGGATGGAGCATTACTGGAGGGGGAAGGCTGGCCAGAGAGGTCATGTTTACCACTGTAGAATGGCCTCTCCTCTGGCCCTCCTGTGCAAAGCAAACCCCAGGCTTCAGCACCTGGTCTCCTGAGCCCACTGGAAGCAGAGGTCCTGAACCAGTGTTAGCTGAAGGCCTCATTGCTGCTCCACCAGCTGAGGCTGGAGAATGTTGTGGGCTACCTTGACTGAGCATTGGTCTTTCCACATCCCCACCTCATCAACTTCAGCAGCAGCAGTATCATGTAATATTTTCCAATTTATCAATAGAAAGGGTTACACTTTTATACAGTTGAGCCTTCCATCAGTTGAGTCTGAGTTCCCCCATACATCTTTTCCTATTTCCCACCTCTTAACGGCTATTCCATCTATCAATAGTGCCACAGCCTGGAGACTAAGCTTTTGGTATAGGGGGCCTAGGGGACATTTCAGATTTATTTTTAAGGGTCTTGCTAAATTGCCCAGGCTGGCCTTGATATTATGATCCTCCTGCCTTGGTCTCACAGAGTGCTGGGATTACAGATGTATACCAACATGCCTGGCTAGGTATCCCAATTTAATGAATTCAGTAGTCAGAAAAATCATTTTGCCTTATCCTTTCTTTTCTTTAAATATCATTAAATGATGCAATGAATCTGACATCATGTTCATCTTATGACATTCTCTAATGATAAGACAGTTGTATAAATTTAAATCACTGCAATTCATTAAGTTTAACTGGAGTGTTTTAGATATAAACTACACATAAGAGATATGCCATACAATAAATAATCCTATGCCATCTAATACTGTGACATTGAAATGTTTTTTCTACTTCCTCTTACCAAACATTACTTCTTAAAGCCTCCAGCTCTATTATAGGTGCATGCTTCTTTGCAGTGTAACTTTGTAAGTTCTATTTTCTTGTTGGGCTTTCACTCAAGGCCTTAGTAAAGGTAGTGCTTCCAAATAGAATCAGGCTAAAGCCCTGTATCTCAGGAAGATCAAAGTAATTGTTGGTGATTATACACATTTTTTTAAAGAGACCGGGAAATAAATTCAAACAGCTACAAACTGGAATTAATATTTTATTCCCAAATACAAACCACAACTGAGGTAATTGCAACTAGATAGATTTCCACAGAAATGCACAAATACTAAGTATTTAGGTGCATGATTTAGAAGCCACATTCAGCACAAAACTCGGGAAGACTTTGAAATACTATCTTGTCACTTAATAGGGATACATGAAAAGACAAGATCTGAGATGTAATCTTTTTTCAAAGGATCTGAACAGCTTTCTTTTGATAGCAGACAGGATCCAAAAGAAATTTTCTGGATCTTTATTGAAATCCAAAGGCATATGACTACTCCTTCCAAAATAATTATCCTGCAGCAATTTCACAACCATCATAAGCTTTTATGAGGAGCTATGATTGCACAGAGAACCATATACAAAGACACTGGTATCTTCCACTCAGAACCTGTGCTCTCAAAACACATAATTACTAACACATACACTTCATTAGCAGCTACAGAAGGAATGATACATCACTGGGCTTTCTTTCTTTCAACCAGTCCATATTTAAAGCGATGTGTTTGCCAAGAAAACCATCAAAAATAAAACTGCTTTCTTTTAATTCTCTATAACAGGAAGAAGAACAGGTATGAAACTTAACAGGAAGTTGCAATGCTCCAAAAATATTGCAGGATCGGATGACACCAAAACCTTCCCCAAACTTGGGACCATGACACCATTCACACCTGGATGTGCTGAAACAGAGGAAACATCAAGTCAATATTTAATACATTTCTACCAAGTCAAAATGTTGTGATTTATGCTCTGCAAGACTCAAAGTTATATAAATTATGACAGTGATTATATCAAATGCATATTTTGTCACATATATATATATATATATATATACATATACACACACACATATATTTATATCACTAGTCTAGTTTTCTCAAAAAGACTATGTCCATAGTACAGTGTTTATTGTGTTTGTTCTTCTTGAGAGAGAGGTTGCTCTGGGACCACTTAGCCCTTTTTTTTGGTTCCACATTTAACTCAATAAACTCAGGTTCAAGTTCCCTGCCTTGCGGTGAACTCTCATAACCCCATATATGCTTACCACTAACTAAGTTTTAGCTCTGTAGAAACAAGCTTTTCCCTTAGAGATTGATGATGATGATGATGATTTTTTTTGGTACCAGGGATCAGACTTGGAACCTTGCATTTGTGAGGCAGGCAGCAGGATCACTGAGCTAAATCCCCAGCCCGATTATTATTATTTTTGTTCTACTTTCTCATGAGCAATAAAATTTCATGAGCACAGACATCTCCATACGTAAATATCAAAAATTTCTGGGCCTAGTTCTCTAGTGGTAGATCTCTAATCACCATTTTCAGTTTCTCCAGTGATTGCTGGTTTGTTCAAATTGTCTGTTGTGCTAGTCACCTTTCTGTCACTATAACAAAATACTGATAATTTATAAAGAAAAAAGTTTTATTTTGGCTCACAATTTAGAAGATTCTGGTCCATTTTTGATTGGCACCATTGTTTGGGGCCAGATAGTACATTATGGTGGTAGCAACTAGCAGAATAAAATCCCCTCATGGGCAGGAAGCAAAAGAGAAAAAAGAGGCTGGGTCCCATGATCCCCTTTGGGGACACACTCCCAGTGATTTGTGCATCTCTCATGAGGCCCACTTCCTAAAGGCTCTGTCACCTCACAGTAACATCACCCCAGGGAACAAGTCCTAAACACAGAGGGCCTGGGTGGCACTCAGCATACACATGATAGCATTATTAAGTCAGTGTTGGCAATTTATACATTCCTGGAAAACCATTTTACTTAGGAATATATGTTATTAAGTCAGTAGTCCTAGCCCTGATGATGGATGTTTAAGTAAAAATAGTTCATACCATTGTGAAGGAAATAAAAGACAAGCTTGAGTGAACTGTGGTAAGTGTGTGAAGTTTAGCAGCCCTAGTGCTGAATGTAGGCAATGACTTCAAAACTCATCATTGATATCTGGAGAAGAGTTACTCCCTGTATGGCTTCTCTATTCCTTGCTTCTATCAAGTTAGAATGGAGTAAAACATCCCTGTGACTGAACAATTTTTTTGAAGAAACAATTTCTATATATTTAGTGATTTGTAGAAAATATTTATGCAACAGCCACATAGATATGAGATATAATAATGACTATTTACATTTTTCTAAAAAATATCACAGTAAAAGACACATTGCTATTAAATATCCTCAAAATACTCCCCCTTGCTTGAAATCCAGTTATCCCATTATTCTAGACACTGTTGGAAGCAGTGCTGGAATTCCTCTTGAGTCTTCAGTTGTACTGTTGTGGCTGCTTTGATGTCCTGAATTGAGTCAAAGCATTTACCTTTCCCTGTCATTTTGACTTTAGGAAAGAGCCAGAAGTTGAATGGCCCAGATCTGGTGAATAAAGCAGACGAGGAGACATAGTAAGCCCTTTTTTTTACAAGGCTGCCTTCTCATTGGATGGCACTCAGCATCAGCATTCACTATATTTTTTTATCATACTTCATAAAGACATGAAAGACTTCCAGACTGGTTCAGAAAGTGACAATAACAATGGCATAAGTGTGCTTGTAGCAAGCGGGAGTATTTTGAGGGGAGTTAATGGCAAGATATATTTTATAATCAATTTTTTAATATGTAAACATTCACTATATATTTCGGCCATGACTCATACTTCCACTACATCCCAGCAACCCACCCTTCACTTTGGAGGTAAGTAATAAGTTGAGAATATTAGGAAATGGACTAAATTCAGACAACAATATTATACTTGAAAAGCTAGAAGGGGAAATTTGAAGAATCATATATATGTGGCTTTGGGTGCAGTATGGTATGCAGGTGTGTTACTAAAACTGCCTTCTGGCCCATTCATGAAGAAAATTAAAATACTCAGAGGTGTCCTTTCAGTTGAATGCTGTGGCATATGCCTGTATTGAAAGGGAATTTCTAGACAGGTGGATATAGTTAACAAAAATAACTAAATTGTTCAACTATGAGTTAACTTTGTTATTAACCAGCTATGGGTTAACTAGGTAACTATGCTCTTTGTAAAATGTTATGTGAGTAGCTGTGACAACTTCTGTAATTTGTCACCACAGGAGCGTAAGGAACTCAGGAAGTCCTGCTGGCAGAGAGCTCCTCTGCTCTGCTTTATGTAAACACTACTTGCTATGTTCCCAGGAAAACCCCAATGAGACTAAGCCTCATAGATGTAAAAAATGTCAAGTAACTAACCAACCAAAGACTTTCAAATACTCTGCTTCTGCTTCTGTACCTTCTGCTTGCAACCCTATAAAACTGCCAGCCTGCCAATATGCTGGGCCTGAAAGCTTCTATGGGAGTGATCCCAGTCAGGTGGACATAATGAAAGAGTTGCACACTGCCTCCTGCCTTCCTGAGTGATTTCCTTTCCTGAATTCAGTTTGATACAGCAATATAGTCTCAGCTGCTTGGGAGGCTGAGGCAGGAGCTCAACAAGCTCAAGGCCAGCCTGGGCAACTTAAGACTGTTTCAAAAATAAAATTAAGAGTTAGGGATGTAGCTTTGTTCAATAGCATTTTTCAAACATATGTGAGGCCCTGGAGTAAATTCTCAATATTGTAAAGAGAGAGAGAGAGACAGAGAGAAAGAGAGAGAAAGAGAGATTCAGGGCAGTAAAGGAGGGCAAGGAAGAGGAGGGGGGAGGGAAAAGAAAAGTGAAGCATACTTTGGCTAAAAACACTTTAGAATGTACTCACCTTTTTAGTAACCTTTGAATTTTCACTGGAATCACACCATAAGATGTACATAGATCACTTCTGACGATGAACAAAGAAGTAATATGAGTAAGTCGTGGGGGACTAATCAAAGAATTCTCTGTCCAAAATCTGTGATGAGTAAATGTATTCTCAAGGGAGATCTTTGTTAGGTTAAGCTTCAAAATTCCAGGTGGCAAGTAAAATAAATAATTTCCATCAATATTCAATTTTTCCAGTGATCTATAAATGAAGAAAACTGTATTGTAAAATGCAGTCATATGCAATTTATAATACTGAACTACAACTCTGGCCCAATATTTTTGAAAACTGGCATCAAACTTAATAGCAATAAAACATATCTACACTTAATATTTCCTCAGAATCAAGAGTATTTACTCCAACCAACTGAACCAATGTATTATGATGCATGTAAATTTGTGTGAATAGCAGAGTAAAAGCATGTATTTGGGGTCTTTGTAACATACCATCACCATGGAAAAATAAATATATGCAAACCTATGAAGACTAATAAATATTACATAAGAATCATAAATGATATACAAAAACTTAGAAAATTTGAAATCAATATATTTTTATTCAAATCTTATGAAAACAGTGAAATTTATGCTATCAAAATATATCATGTGCTATGTTACACTTTGACTTTCCAATACCAGAGTCCTATAGCTTTCACTTGGTCAATTACTTCTAATGTCCCCTGTTTCTTTATTCAAAGAGAACAACAGGACTGATCTCATGTTTTATTTCTCTGAATAATGTTCAGAGAACATTACAATCATTTTTCTTCTTTCTAATTACTGTTAGAAGCAAATAGAATAGTATCTATTCATGAGGACCATATAAAACTCAAATGCAAATCTGGTGCAATTTATCAAATGTAGTAGAGGTAAACAGGTTAATCTGTAAGCTTCAGGTAGTAAGCAGCTGGTGGCCTCTGGATTCTGACAGTCTTAATCTCACATTTCATATTCGCCCAAGTTAAGCTCTTCAATTGTAAATCTTGCTGACAATATTAAAATATAGTCAAAGTGGGTATGTAAAACAAGGAGGCTGGGAAGGTGGCTATCAAAATTCTTCAGTCACAGTTTGCCTGCTGTACTTTTCAAGGTCTGCTAAACATGAGCAAGACACCAGACTGTTATGGTCTTGAAGGAGTGAGCTGTTATGGTCATTTTTTCCTCTGCATCAAATTTAAGGCTAGGAATCAGTAGCAGAGAGGCTTGCTCTGGTCTGAATGTTTATTCCACCCAAAATGCCTATCTTAAAATCTCCGCCTCAAAGTTATGGCATTTGGAGGTGAGTTTTTAGGAGGTGATTAGGTCAGGGTAGAGCCCTCATAGACAGAATTCGCGCCCTTATAAAAGAAGCTTCTGTGAGAACCTCCACCCACTTCATCACATGAGCTGAAAATGAGAAGACAGCTGTCTAGAATGAAGTGAGATCTCACCAGACACCAATCTGCCTGTGACTCAGTCTTTGACTTCCCAGCCTCCAGAATCATGAGAAATGAATTTTTGTTATTAGGTACTTGCCTGAGATAGGATATTACAGCAGCCTGAGGCAACCAGGACAAGTTTCCTGTAGAAAATCAGATTGACTATGATTGAGTGCCCATTAGGGAAATGCTAATGAAATTTCCCGGAACACCCATAGGGAAGCTGCTCCTGCCTGAGCTGGTTTATCTGGGAGGATGTAGCAGTATGGGAGCCTCCTTCTCTTCAATGAGTTTGAGGAAGCTAGGCAGGCTAACTAATCCTCAAAACTGGAAGAGCTCTATGTTTAGACAGCCTTCACAGCTTGAGCACTGTGGGGGTCAGAGAGACTTCCTCCTATGTACTACTGACTGATACTTTTGGTGCTGAGTGGTGTTCTGTGACTGTCACTGGCCCACATAGAAGGAACAGTGCTGAGAAGAGGAAAGCTCGACACATAGAACTGTGGTCCCAAGGCAAGCACACTTTGTGAGAGACAGAAGCTGGGTGGGGGTAGGAGAAATACTTGATCAGATTTAAATACAGAGCAGATGTGTGCCTACACATACACTCAAAACTTTCTTGAGTAAAAAATGAAAGATTTGTGAAAATAAAAAATGAAGTAGAGGAACAGAAGAACATGACCCTCATGGGAATGCAAATGGGAAGCAAGGTAGAAGAACTCAAAACTGAGCAACAACTTGGTGGAGATAGAAAGATGTGGGTGTAGAGGGCAGGAAGGGGAAAGGACAACCAAAGTGACTGTGAGGTACTATGCATATATGCCAATTCTTGAAGATTAATTCAATTATTATGTATCACAAACATATGCTAATAAAAAAGAAACTAAAAAGTTTAACGGAAAAAAATGGGCAAAATTATAAGGAAAACTGTGAAGAAAATACAGGTGCCATGGATTACAGATCCAGGAAATCTAACATATAAATGATGGGCATTTTAGAAGAGAAAATGAAACAGAGTTAGAGAGGCATAATTAAACATATTTTCTTAACTTAAAAAAACAAATTTAGAGATGGCAGATTGAGTTCACTGAATTCCAAAAAAGAACTGTTAAAAAAAAATAAAAAGATACTCTTAAATGTGATCTAATAAAGTTACTGAAGATTAAACAAAGATCATGAGAGAAAATTAAATCTTTTCAGATGAAAATAAGAGCCACTCACAAAGAAAAAAATAAAACTGGCAAGCAGATTACTTGCCTGCACACTGGATGTGCTGATGGAGGCTTCATGGGAAAGGGCTTCAAGGTGAGATTGTCCACTTATCCCAGTCATCAGTTATCTGTTGTGGTGCATGATTCAGAGAAAAAATTACTCATATCCTCCACCTGAGGAAAAGACTTGAGGAAAACTCCAAGCAGTCAGGAAATCAAAAGCAGCATATCTCCAGGTTCAAGGTGAGATGAAAGAGGAGAGGGAAAAAGCAGTAAGCAACGGATCTTGAAACACATGTATTGAAATAGAAATGGAAACTGCTTAAAAATGATTTTGAGAGTTAAATGCTAAATATTTGTTAAAAGAGAGAATGCAAAGAAAAAACTAGTGAGAATTAGTAGCATCTAATAGTTTCTAAAGCATCTCAATAAAATCTAGGGTTAAATAAGATGTAGTTGAGTTTGAAGGGAAATTAGGAAAATAAAAGTATCTTATGTACGTCTTGAGTGCCGATGAAAGTGTTAGGAAGCAGATAATTATGGGGGACTTGTAAAAAATATTAAATAAAATTATGCTGATTCTGAATTTAGGAAAGTACAGTAAAGCTCAAAAAATAACGGGAAGAAATTAGAAAGAGGAGAAGAGGATGCAGGAAAAAGGGAATGCAAGTAAACAGTAAAATATAAAATAAAATGGAAGGCAAAAATCAAATGATCAGTCACATATGCTGCAAATACAAATATGCTAAATTCTCCTATTAAAATACAAAAATTATCACAAGAGAAATTAAGTGATTGGTATAAATATTAGAAAATCAGAGAAAAAAATTATCTCATTTTGCTGAAGGTGAGCTTGTGTTCCTAGATAATCAAAAGAAATCAATCAGATCAACCAAAAATCTCAATCAGAACTAATAAAAGAATTTGGTAACATTGTTTGATTTAAAATTAATATAAAGGACATAGCCACCAGACACAGTGGCACATACTTGCAATCTGAGTACACTGAAGACTGAGGTAGAGACATCACAAGTTTAAGCCCAGCCTGGACAACTAAGTATCTTAGAAAATCCATGTCTCAAAAATTAAAAAAAATTTTTTTAAAGGCTTAGGGGTGTAGCTCATTGTGAAGACCTTGGTTTCAATTCCCAGTACCACAAAAAATATAATATAGTTTTTCTCTATTTTACACTGGTAATATTCAGCTGAAAATGGAAATAAAAGCATGTTGGTAGTAGCAACACAATTGTAAAATATGTAGAAAAGTTTTTCAAGATGTGAAATAAGTTATAAATTCTTATGAAGAACATACAATAAAATCTGAAAAATCTTAAAAATATGTATTATGCTTTAGAATTTAAAATTCAATTATCAAACATAAAATTCTTCAAAACTTTTATGTAATGCAAGACAATTGCAACTAAAATGCCAAGTTTGTGTTTTTATGTATTGAAGGAGGGACTGAGAATTATATAAAATGACCTTAAAGATTAAGAAGTTAAGAGAATAGTCAAGAGATTATTACTGAAAAATAACCTATTAATTATTAAAATTATTTTAAATTATAATCAAAATAGTATGGTATTAACCCAGAAGAACACAGATGAACTTCAGACTTCTTAAAAAATCACTTTTCTTAATTAATGTGATTTTAGCATTAAAATTACAATGTATATTATGAATATTTTGTATATATATATATATATATATTCTTATTAAAAATGAATGAAGTGGAAGTACCACAGGGGCCCACACAGAAAAATGAACAAAAGTAGCTTGTCATTTTATTTAGTTGTCACAGTATCATCCTTTAAATAATTATTGGAAATATAGCTTTAAAATAACTGTACGCCAATCATTCAAACTATATTTCTGATAAATTTCATACTTATACACTGCACATTTTATGGCAGGCAACAAAGAACATGAAAGACTCAGTATTCTCTGTCACAATCATTACCAAATGCCCTTACAGGGTATGACTTTGTATGTATTTACTATTCCATAATACCTAAGTTTCTGGATGTCACTTGGAATAGAAGTGATTTCATTGTAGGAAACATCCAGTTCCTCAAGATGGGACAAGGAAAATAACCTTAAATACAAAGAAAAAATTAATTATAAAACAGATTATACATTTTTTAATCACTGGGATAAAGAAAGAATTAAAGACTTAGGGAAACAGATAACAATACAGAAAGTGGGATTTTTCTCAGAACATAAAATTCATATTATATAATCAATTGATTTTCCAAACATGAAAGAACTATCTAGGGAAGAAATCAAGAAAACAATTCCACTCACAATAGCTTTTAAAAAAGGACAAAAATACCTAGAAATCAAACTAATAATGAGATGAAAGATCTCTATAATAGGGACATAGAAAAGTGGAACAGAATATAGCACACAGAAACAAACCCACACAACTAGAGCCATCTGATTCTTTTCATTAAGTTTATTGGTATATTTTAGGTATACAGTACAGTTACATTATCATTGTGATCTTGTACCTTTACGTGACATATTTTGGTTCTTATTTTTCCCCAACCCCCTGCCCTCCCTTCACCCCCTCCACACCTCTCTATTTACACAGACTTCGCTTCCATTTTTCAGCCATCTGATTCTTGACAAAAGGGTGAAAACATACTTGGAAAAAAGATAGCTTCCTTAACAAATGATGCTGGAAAAACTGGATATCCATATCCAGAAGATTGAAACTAGATTCCTATCTCTCACTGTACAAAATTTAATTCAAAATGGATCAAAGACCTAGTATGTGTAAGATCTGAAACTGAAATTGCTAGTATTCATACCCAACTTCTTATCACCTCTAGAGGAAAAAAAATAATAGTATTTGCTCTATGTTTCAACTCAAAATCATGATATTTGTATTCTAGCCTCGGGCAGATTCTAGAATCATCTTGTTTCCCCTTTCCATTTCAGTACTGGAAAACTAGCCTGGCACCAGACTTTTACCGAGGATGATGTATCCTGTTCGTTGTGAAGCTCAATGGGTCTTGAACAGCATTGAGGAGCTAAGATACTGTATAGGGACTAGAGTTGGAATTTATCTCATTGATTATAATCTTAGGGAGCACATCGTCTAGGCAGCCTGTTTGATCAGGCACTCCATATCCCACCAGCACCAAACACCACATTTTAAGAAGAATGTGTTTGTTAGCACGTTACCAGCCAATAGCTGCTTAAACTAGGCTCCTGCTGGTACTTGGAAGCACAGGCTAGCATTAATAATTACATGTAACAACAGAGATAAACACTACAGCAATTAAATAACAGTAGCCTATAACATGTTCATGGCAATTTAAAATGATGTTTCACTTATGGCTGCAAATGTGCTATTATTTTTGTATAAATTTAAGAAAATAAAAGCTATAAGATGTCAAGTAACTTGTTAGTATGAAATTAAATATAGCTATCTTTTTCTTCAGGTATGTGGAGACAGAGAAATTTAGTCTCTCCATTAATGAATAACAATATGGGAAAATAAATATTTGTCCTTTTAGAACTGGCTCTGAACATAGGCTCTCAAGTAGGTTACTAGAGTCCTTTGTTCTAAATGGCTTCTCTTTCAAAAAAGAAACTTCCTGCCAATTACAGCAAATTGAATCAGACAAGTAAAGTCAAATTTGATTCTGTTAGTTAAAAGAAGAAATTTTCTATGTCATTTTTTTCTCTTGGGAAAAAGATAAGGATGTCCTTTTTACCTCTTTGACATTTGTTTCTTTATAACCTTAGGGTTTGTGTCTAAAAATTGTTACAGCTATTCCTCTTTATTCACTTAAGGGTCAATGATGTCTCTCAATCAGTCTCTTACTCAATCCTTTCTTTCCTCTCTTCCCCCTTTAGCTCCTTTTCTTGCCTTTTCTGCTCAAAACCTTTGAGAAAAGAAAAATTCTTTGCAATTTTTGAAATGATTCACTATATTTATTTTGGGGGTTTGTTTTGTTTTGGTACCAGCAGTCAAACTCTGGACCTTGTGCTTGGGAGGCAGGCAGCAGAACCATTGAGCTAAATCCCCGGCCCTCATATTTATTTTATTTTATTTTTGGTACTGGGGATTGAACTCGGGTCCTTATGCTGCAAGGCAGGCAGCAGAACCACTGAGCTAGATTCCGGACCACTTATTATATTTATTTTGAAAGAGGTTTAAAAGACAAATCAAAGAACTTTTCATGGTTCTAAAACTACTCACATTGCACGGGATTTTAGTTATACATTGCTAATCTGTAATGGGATGACAGCCCACTGCTTCCTGCTCTAAAATATGAACTTCCCTCCTGCCATGTTGCCTCATACTGAATGCTTTAAGCAGGTCAAAACAAAATATTAGGAATAAAAATTTAGTATATGAAAAAATGTTCCACATCACTGGTCATTCAAGAGATGCAGATGAAAACAATACTGAGATTCCACCTCACCCCACAAAGAATGGCTGCTATCAAAAAATCACACAATAACAAATGTTGGCGGGGTTGTGGGGAGAAAGAAAAAAAAAACCTTCTCCATTGTTGGTGGGAGTGCAGACTGGTGCAACCACTATGGAAATCAATATGGAGATACCTCAAAGAGCTGGGACTAGAGGTTCCATTTGTTCCAGCCATCCCTCTGCTGGGTATCTTTCCAAAAGAATTAAAAGAATCATATCACAGTGATATATGCACACCCATGTTTATAGCGGCACAGTTTGTAATAGCTAAAACTTGGAAACAGCCCATTTGCCCATCAGTCAGAGACTGGATAGAGAAGATGTGGTTTTTCTATAAAATGGAATATTACTCAGCCATAAAGAATGAGAAGTTAGAGTCATTCATAGGAAAATGGATACATATTGAGGATATACTCCTAAGTGAAATAAATAAGTCACACATGTGTCAATACCAAATAGTTTCTCTGGTGTGAAAAACTAAAATAGTACATAAGACCCTAATGATATAATTGTGAAATAGGAAGAAAAGGGCTAAAGGTATAGGGAAAGTGGGAAGAGTAGGGGAAAAGAAAAAAATATGAGAAAATGAAAAATGTTTGTAAATGGGGAGGGGAGGAGGGGGTGAAGGGAGGGCAGGGGTAAGGGGAAAAAATGAGAACCAAGACCTGTCATGTAAAGGTACAAGATCCCAGTAATGAATGTAACTGTACTGTATACCTAAGATGTACCAATAAACTCAATGAGAAAAATAAATAAATTCAACACTTATATGACATTTTTAAAAAAAGGAATAAAAATTTAGGCCTTGGTGAATTTGTGCTATAACCCGGTAGATTTTTTTTCCTTATGAACTCTCAAATTGGCCTACCTTGAAACAGTTAGCTATTATACAATTTCAAAAATGTTGGATGCTTTGTTTTAAAATTTAGGAAAAAAATCTGTAGAAATAACTGAAGGTATTTTTTTTAATAATGAAAGATTTCCTTAATGATTTTTGTAGTGTTGTTGAAAATATTTTCAGGCAGAAACAAAAAAGTGAGCCAGGGACTTTCCAAAGCTTACAGCATCTAAGGCACAGAGCTTTGCCTCTGAAAGTACCTTGCTTTTCCTATTACGTCATATTAAATTCCATGGAACTAGAAAGATCTCATTGGGAACAGAAAAATAATAATAAAATAATTCCATCATGTTTTTAGAAAAACTTTTGAGAATCACAACATTCTTGAGGAAAATAAATGTATTTCTTTACATATGGAAATCATAATTTAGAAAAATGATGAGAATAAGAAAAGACAATTCTTTTAAACATAAAGTTTAGTCACTACAAGCATAGTTACTACAATCAGCAATCATTTTTCCTGTGATAAATCTAGAATAAGTACATATTTTAATTTAAATTTTACACTGTGGTTTCAAGCAAGTTGGGTAACAATTGTTTTATTTAATAAAATACTGCTAAATTTCACTTGAACTGCTAAATTTATACTGCTAACAGCCACACTTAGTTCAAATGTCCCTACTAAAATGAGGCCCATCCCAATAGGGTATACTCCTCAAAGTTGCCATTCAGAGTTCGTGGCTTCAGTTGTTGGCAGATTTCTCCTTAGAACCTAACAATTGTTCAAGGAAAACCCGCAATATTGCAAATATCCTCCACAATTGAAAATTTTTTTGTGTTTTTTTGTTTGTTTGTTTTGTTTTGTTTTCTTGATTTTTTTGGTGAGAGGTTTGCAAGTAGCCAATCCAAGAGCTGTTAGGGCCTCTCTCATAGAAGAAGTCTTTTTATGGAACTAAAATCTACCTGCTCAAGTTTATAAATGAATGACTGAGAGCTAGTAAGGAAAACCACACAGGAATGCAGATCAGTGCCACTACAAATTCAGTTTCTAATGGGGCCGGGGATTTAGCTCAGTGGTTCTGCTACCTGCTTTGCAAGCACAAGGGCCTGAGTTCAATCCCCGGAACCAAAAAAAAAAAAAAAAATCAGCTTCCAACCTCAACTCAGCCCACAGAATTGTCTCTCAAATGTTCACTTTCCTATGCTTTACCCTCTTTTCCTTTCCTCTCAATATCAATGCTAAATGATGACAACTTTCTTCAAAGCTGTTTTTCTTCTTCACTTTTCTTACTCCCAAAGGTGAACCTAATTAAAGACATTTCAAAGTAACCTCCTTCAACTGATAGATAATCGGAGCTAAAGTCTTTGCTAACTGACTGAATTTTATGTTTTCTCATCCATGGAACTGTGTATTTCTTGCATTCATTCTTAGGGCCTGTCTCCATTTTTTAGGAAGTAAAGTCAATGCTTTTGTTTATGACCAGGACCTCTACCTGTACTTGTGACTCCTTTCCCTCTCATCCCCTGTGAAAATGTGTAACAGCATCCACCCTTCCATGCCTTCAGTCACTTCTTTTTCATCATTGTGAATAAGCCTGTTTTTTTAAGTTAACAACAAAAATGTTTCCAAGATCCATGTTCCCTGCAGTTTTATCTAAACTATCTACTCCCACTGCATTCAAATTTCTTCAAAAAGTGGTCTATATCTATCATTACCAATTTCTCTCCTCTTTGTCATGCCTGACCTGCATGAGACCCTCTCAGCAAATATCCCACCCTCAGCAAACAACAGGAACCACTAAAGGGCCATACTATCCTCAGTAAAGGGAACAGATACCCATAAAGAAAATTTAGGACAGAACGTGTCTTCTCCCCAGCAACTCAAAATCTGATGTTATCCAATGTTATACACATCTGTACTGACTATCCTGAGAAACCTGATCACAAGCATTCTATCCCAGATTTCTTAAGACCGCGCACCCCTTCCCTAAATCCTATAAAAATTTTGCTTCTTCTCTGACCAACTGCTGATATCTTTCTTCATTTCAGACTGTGTGCACCCAGACAGAAAAAAATCAGCCTTTTTCTCACACAAAGCCTATGTCTGGGAGTCTCTCATATGCTATTTGTTACACCTTTCCACCTCGGCCCACTGCAAACTGGCTTTTGTTTCTACCATTCCATTGAAACTGTTCTCTGTTGTTGACACTGTTGGTCATCCTTTTCTGAAATAGACCAACTGCTTGGCTTCCGTGATATAGCTGGTTCTCTCTGTGCAACGTGAGTCCCCATTTCTATAATTTCCTCTTTATCTGTCTGTACCTGAAACACTGATGCGTCTCCTGAAATATCACTTGAAAAGGTGGCTCTTTCCAGGCTCAATGGTTTCAATTAATAAACCAGATGTAGTCAAAACATATGGCAAATGATTAATTAATTAAAATTTTAAAATGTATTGCCATTAATTAAATTAAAAATTTATTACCATAAAAGTCACTGCCATTAATCTGCCTCAAAATATTTTCCCTGACTTCCAAATACTCATCCCGTTGTGTTCTTCCCACTTTTGGAAACAGTTATGAAAGCCTTCTTTTGTGAGTGTCCTTACAAGGTGTGATAAAAATAAATACAAGCTCATAAAAATATAACTGTGGGGCCAGGGATTCAGCTCAGTGCTTCTAGCGCCTGCCTCGAAAGCACAAGGACCTGAGTTCAATCCCTGGTACCAAAAACAAAACAAAACAAATTACTGTGTGTCCTCATCCCTCTTGATCACTGGATCTGGCACTGTGTGACTTCTGGCTTTTCCTACAAGTCAAACTGACCATGAAAGGTTAATGTTTTGCCCTAATTCTCAACATCACGGCAGCCAAGACAGTGCAACTAAAGACATGAAAGAGAATTTCTAGAACTTCCTCAGAAAGTGTCAAGAAAAAGTGATAAATGTGTTCAAAATGAAGGTGAGTATTCTGAGAGGGAATAGTGGCAATGTGTCTTTAAAGATAATATATTTTTAAAAAATTTAAACTTTCACTGTATTTTTGTTTGTGTGTGTGTGTGTGTGTGTGTGTGTGTGTGTGTGTGTTTGCGGTACTGGAGCTCAAACTCAGAACTCTGTGCTCGCCAGGTGGGCATGGCATCACTGAGCTATATCCCCAGCTCTTCACTGTATTTATTTTATCATACCTCGTAAACTGATAATTTGAAGTCATTTTCTCCAGCACAAAATTCTCTTGTGAGCCTAATATGTCTAAGTGCAACATTGTGATGGAATACATAATCCCAAACAACATGTTAATCTAAACGCATTATTTCCCATTCTTCAAATATTTTCAGCTTTCTTCTTGTCACTTTCCTGCTAAAAATCAACTAATAGCTTCTATGACCTTTAAAATAAAATGTAACTGTTTTCACATGACCCCCAAAATTTCACAGATAAAGCCTCTCTCATGACCTTGGGCCTCACTTAGGGCCATTCTGCCACCCACACAACGCCAGGCCAGCTTTCCAGCCACCTGTGGAGAGTTCAGTCTTCCCTGCCCACTTTCGTTAGTACCACTGCAGGAATGCTCTTTCCCTCTTCTTGGACTGTGCTCATAATTATGTTTCTGCTGAAATGCCGTTTCTTCCCGTTAGGCTTTATTAACAATTCAAATTTAATTCATATTTCTGCTGACATCTTATTGTTCCTTAAAGTCATAGCCCTTAAAATGTTTTATATGTATTTACATATTCATTATAGTGTTTGTTAAAAATTTCCATATCCTTCCCTAGATTCTAGGCTCCACAAGGAAAAAGATCTTGCACCTTTCAGTTACCAACCTAAATCCAACTCTTAGGACAGAGTCGGGTATTGGTAAATACTTAATAAAGATATGTTATATGGTTGGATTATTTCACTCTAGGCACTTAACAGTCCAGTCATCTTGTTTTTTTTTTTTTTTTTTA